TTGTGGTTCTGTCTGTCAGAGCTCATTTGTCGATGCTTGGCTTGTACTTTGTGCTGCCATGCGCCACCCCACCTCCAGCACATTCACCATTCCTAAGAAAACCAGAGCTGAAAAGGATTTATGGGCCAGGTGCCTCCATGAGCTCAGTCCCGGAGAACTAAGCATCCTTTCTCTGTAGAACCTGGGGAACTGGCCACGTCGGTACCCATATATTCTGTATCCTGGCCTCCCCTGGAACCAGGAGCTAGGATGACAGAGTCAGGTCACTTAGCACAAGCCTATCCTTAATCCTGGAGAGGAGATAGGACACCTGACCCCAGAGGCCAGATTTGGGGGGAACAATGCTGAAGGCAAATGGATACCTATCCTTAGCATGGTCAGTCTGCTCTTTCGGACTGTCAGAAAACCAGGTAGGTTACCAAGAGAGACATCAGAGAGAATCATGTGGACCCAAGAACGTGTGCAACTTGGATCTCACATTCATCTGCATTATATCTACAACTAAGAGCTGTTTTCAGGAAAGACAATTGGTGGTCTAATAAATCTAAATCCCAGTTCCCCAAAGTAATTTGCTCATCTCTTAAGGACCTATCAATAACTGCTTGATGAAATTGTAATGTTTCTGAGTTGGAAAAAATGGAATAGACTTAGGCTTCATATCTGAATAGCTAAATCATACATTTTGGGCTTTTTAAAAGCAAATAATAAAAACAGTTTTACACAAGTTGCAAATTGCTTATAAGAAAGAACCAACCAAAGGAGACAGGAGTCAGGATAAACAAAATGAACATTATTTTTAATGTATGACAATGTTGTTTGATGGTAACAATAAGAGATTTTAATGCAAGCTCTACATCCATCACTGGTTTAACACTCAAACCGGGAAACTTTGTTTGGGTCCCTAGGGGAGAGAAAATAAAGTGGACGAGTAGAGAACAGATCAAGCCTTCTGGAAGATAGCTGTTTGGCACCTCGGCATTTAATGCAAAATGTATAGCTCTTGGTGCTTCAGCTTCTTTGAGTCAAAAACAGAATAGTGTTTCATTTTAAATTTAACAAAAGCTTCTCAACACCCTATACTATGTATCATCTATGCTGTGGGATTCATAAATCCAGCAGTAGTTCCTAACCCCATGGCTCCTGCTAATAGGAAGAAGGGCCTGAAGCAGACTCAGATTTAAGAGCAGAGAAGCCCAGTAATTACAAAGGAGGAACCTACAATCTGCATGGCCAGAAATATACATTTCAATTATGGTTTCTAGAGGGAATTTCATAAAACTGCCTATGATATATCTGATAGTGTGTGCTTCTATGGCACATTCTTTTTTTTCTTGAGCTGGTTATTCACATCCTGCTAGAAAATACTAGAACTGCCCAGTATTTCATATTTGCTATCGTCAAGGTTTATTTTTAGGGTACTGCTACTTTCGTCTTTGCATAAAATATTTGGGGGGAAATTTTGAGTCATAGCTGAAGCTAAATTCAAAGGATATAATTAACCCCAGGGGTCTTGTCAGAACAACCTGCCTATTGCTGCTGAATTGCAAACCAACATTTACAAATAATTGCCATATTGGTTTTGCTGAAATTGCCCATAATGATTTCAATCACAGCAGCCACCCTAGAACCTTAGGACCCTTTAAATCATTTCTTCTGCTAATGTATTCAGTTAAGCAATGAGTCTCCTGAATGCTGGGTTCTCACTGCTTCTGCAGTGACTCCTTCCCTGTCAAGCCTGGCTTTGTGCAGATTGCTTAGGAAAGGCTTTTTAACCCCATTTCTAACCTTTAAGAAATGTGGATGGTGGTAAACATTTGAAGATGAATTGGACAACTGAGTAAACAATTGCTTTATCCAAATTTTACTGTACTTACAGCAAGTTATAGAGCCACAAAGTCTATCAAAATCTCGATGATGTTAGTTGAAAATGATCTTCCTGTAGGAATACTGTCAGAGGAAGGGTTATGTTTAAGTCCAAGAGTCTCATGATTTTTTTAAAAGATCATAACTATGTTCTTTCATTTACCTAGCAAAAGCATATCTTATCTTTAAGACTTCATTGCCAGACAGTCTACCTGGTATCTAGTAGACACACAGTACATATTTGGTGAATAAATTGTGTGGGAAAATCACTCTAAATAATACACCTAAAAATTATACGATAGAAAATTCTTAAAATTCTATGAGAAAACAATACACATCTGACTAACATGGTAGTCACTCAGATAAAATGGTAGCAAATTACAGTGTTCTAACTATAGTAAATGTTAGAACTTTAACTGTGGCACAGTTTTTAGGGGCTTTTCTTGTGATTCCAATAATATTTTTTTTTTCTGAAACAAATCCAGACATGAGAGAGTTTCTTCTTGTGGGCCATTGGATTCTGCAAGCATTCCTTGGAGAGATTTTTTTTGTTCATGTATCTTTAAAGAGGCTTGGGATTCTCTTTTCAAAGATAGAACATTTTTGAGAAAAGTTTTCAAAAATTGTACAGCAAAAGTTGACAACTTTGTGCCTTAGAAATATAGAATTGTCAATCTTAGGGTATATCTCCCTAAAATTGGCTGAAGGCATATATCATAGGTTCATTTTTTCATGGTGTTGTAAGTAATAGCAGAGGCGTAGTTGGGAGATCACTCTAGTGCGGTGACCCTGTCACAGTGTCACCACATGGCAGAGCTGGAAGGAACCCTAGTATTCCATCCAGTGGCCACATGCTGCAGACATGCAAAAAGCGGTAACCTGGCTATGACATCACAGCTCCCGGGAAGCAGAGTTCAGAGAAGGCATCTCATGGTATTGACTCAGCCTTGAAAACCCACACTACTCCATTCCATGAGGAAAGAGTGAGATGCATCAGGCAAAGCAGCCCCCAGAAACTCATTTTTGAGTGGTCCCAAGGAGTCCCTGGGGGAGCATGTGGTCCTTGCCTAGTTGATGTGTTAGAAGGGTCACTGACACTGCCTGATAGAAATCACCTCCTTCCTAAAGGCAGATACACATCCAACACACAGCATGTTGCAATTAAGGTACATTTCCCATCAGTCAGGGTCACCATCCGTCCTAGCTTGCCTGGGCCTGAGGGGTTTCCTGGGATGTCAAACTTGCAGTGGTAAAACCTGGAATGTTCCAGTCTAACTGTGATAAGAAGGTTACCCTAATTAAGTCAGAGAAAGGAATCTACCAAGTTCTACGGTGTCTCCTCCTTTCATTGGTTCAACATTGTAGAATCTACACAGAGCTCCTGCCTACTCTAAAACAGACTCTACTTTGAGCTTCTTTTGACACTGGACACTTACAATGATGTAGACATACCTAAATTAGCATCTAAGATTTAGAAAAGTCTACATACCTTGATTTACCTAAACTAAATGTCTACATATTTTCCACTGAGTAGTTTGAGTGGTAGATAGTGGCTGAAAATCAGGATAATTTTTGCTTGAAGCCCATTTATTTCGGTAATCCTGTCTTCATTTTCCTTTAATTCCTTCTTGTGGAAAACAAATAATAAACACAACTTTTCCTAAACATCCCTAGACATCAAGACTGTATATCCTTCCTGCTGCAGGTGTTATTTGTCCCTGTCACTGTCGTTGCTCAAACCTAACCGTGCACCCAAGTCACCAAATGAGAGTCTGCATTTCTAACAAGTTCCAGGTGATATGTGCGCTGCTGGCCTGATGTGCTAAATAGCGAGGCTTTATGTTAGCTCTCTACAGCTCCTCCTTGTATCAAAGGGAGGAGGCTCACAAAGTAACTGGGCAAGGAGGCCAAGCTAAACACTGCCTCTGCCAGCAGCCTGCTCCCACAGGGCCAGTGGTGCAGAGTGGATTGATGAGGTCCACAGCCTAGTGACAGCCTTTTCCTGGCTCTTCTATCATGTTTGTGATTGTTTTCCTGGCCAGACAGAGGGACTCACCCATAAGGTTACTATTGCATAGCTTCCCCCCAAGCCTCCTCTCTGAGCTCAAGAGATAATAATGGAGGTGGCTCCTCCCAGTAAGTGCAGGATTCCCAAGTGTGTTGAATCTTAATTGTTACTCTTGATATCAGATAATCTCTCACCTGTTGCTTTCAGCATACACTAACAAAATAGTTTCTCTCAAAGTAAATCTGCGTCTTAGAGAAGAGCCATCCTAGCCCTGGTAGTTTTTCACATTCAAGTTCATCTTTCTTCTCAAACTCGGATTCATAGCGCCTCAGTCTGAGCAAGCATATACTACACATAAAGAAAAACATTGACTTTTTTCCTTTTCTGTTGAGCAGTGCTAAAACCAATTTCTTTCTCTCCCCTCTCACAAAGAGAAAGTACTTTAATGACTGTTTCTTTAATACATTGAAGTGCTGAGGATTATCACTCACTCAGTTGAGCCATAAATGCCGTAGAGTTACAGGAAACTTGCCTGTGGCAGTTTGTGCTTTATTTAATCATAACTGGAAACTTATTTTTCTAAATGATTCTAAACAATAAAATTTAATTCATGAAAAGCTAGTCACAAGAATGTAACAGCATTCAATCCCTTTGGATCAAACCCTTGGGCCTTTGGGGTGAGTGATGTACCCGAGGGAAAAACTGGACTGTTTTGAAAAATAATTCTATGGGTGTAACTTTTCTGCTCAAACACTTACATTTTCCCATATTTCAGGCTGTCCGTCAAGATGTGCCAGGCTCATAAAAATTATATCTGCAGTGTGAGAGCAGCTGAAAGGAAATGAAAGTAGCAGTGAGAGAGACAGGAAAACCCTGTTAGTAAAACAGAGTGCTGGTAGGGAGAGTGTTACCCAGAACATTTACAAAAGACACACTCCCTTTGAGCTACAACTGAGTGATGCAACTAAGTGGAACTTGGAGGTTTTGTATTATTGTGTTTTAATCATTCAATTTGTGAAAAAGCAAGAAAAGTGCCCAGCCTTCCCCTCCCATCCCTATATCCCATTCTGATGGATCTGATTATCATTCTGTGGACCAAAATTTCATGTGAATTCACTGGCTGTTTCAGGGGAGCCCAGTGCACCTAAACTCGAAGGGCAGATGGGAGAGGATGGGAACTCTATTAAGGTGAACTTGATCAAGCAGGACGACGGCGGCTCCCCCATCAGACACTATCTGGTCAAGTACCGAGCGGTGAGTAGACTTCTACCCCAGACTCTACCCCATCCCTGCATCACTGACACCTGCCTTGTCCTTTGAAGGGACAACCATATGAAGCCCAGGTAGGCTGGAGTGAGACAGTTCTTGTACTGTGTCCTATGGCTGACTCATGGGCACTTGAGGATTTAAAACTCACAGGGTTTTAAATCCTAAGACCATCTGGAACTGTTAGACCATCGGACCATTTGAAAACACTTAAAATGATTGTGGTGTTGACAGACCCACACCATGATTGGTTTTCCTGGTTCTTAAATTTTTCTATAAAGTTATGTAAAGGCGTGTTCTCTGCACAAACACCCTGTGAAGCGGGACTTGAAATTTTCCTCACTGTACAGGTGAAGTAACCAGAGCTGCATCAAAAGCTGGAGGTCTTACCCAGCTGGGTGAGCTGGAATTTGAATTCAGGCTCAAGTAACTGATGAGCCTGGGCTCTTACCGCTGCCTGAAGCTGCCTTAAGATCCTAAGCCTGCACCGTTCCCTTCCCCTGCTCTTTGGCTCTAAGCCTCTTCTTTTGTCTTGCTCATCACTCATCTAAGATGTCCAGCATTCCACCTTTCACCCCCAACCTCTCCAAATCCAACGATGCTTGTTCATCATCAACCACAAGAGTTGCTAAGAGATGTTAAGACAGTCTCTGGGCATTGGGAACAGCCTGTTGCTAGAGTTTCTTAGCAATAGAAAATAATGAGCCAGAGAGCAGCTTCCTTTCTTCAAGTTTCCCAAGTAAGGCTTTTTCCAGGAAGTTGGCTTCCTCTCTCCGTCGTGTGATCAGCCCCTGAGGTGGAAGTGACATTTGGGTCATTAGCTAGTTAGGCTTCTAGAGAGTTGGTCCAGCACAGAGCCTTCCAGGCACTCCTCTCAGCCAGTGGGCAGGCTGTCAATGCAGCCCAGCTTCCCACTTAATTTCTAAGTCATGCCAGGGTGATCTGATATAGCAGGGGAAAACTCAGTTGACCTTTTAAGGCCCAGCCCAGAGGGACCACAGAATGAGAGGTCTGTATGCTTCCTCAGGGCAGAGAAGGATGCCAAGACCAGGCAGGTCTTTGCACACTCCACTGGAAGCAGATGGACTGGTAGGATGGACTGCCTCTGGCCATTGTTAAGCTAATGTGGCCCAGTAGACAGAGCATGGGTTTTAGAGCCAGACAGGCAAGGCATCCAGTTTCCGCTTTACTATGTACCAGCATAAGACCTGACTAGGTCACCCAATCTTCCAAAACCTCCATTAGTTCACCTGCAAAATGGGGATAGAATAACTTACCAAGTTGTAAAGATTCACAATATTGTCTACAAAGAATCTGAAGTATGTGTGGCACTTGGAAGCCTCTATAAATGGTAACTGCAGTTTCTGCTAAGATGCAGGCTCCAGCTAGAAGTCTCTCCCACAAGAGGCCACCTCCAGGGCCAGCCATCATAACTGTGTTAGAAAGACAACCAACCGGAGTAAAACTCCCGAGCTATTTTAGATTTCAGTAATGTTAACCACCCTCTCCCTTTCACTTCAAAACTTATTGTTTGCTAACTATTATCATGTATTATTAATATGTATTATATAACATAATGTTTGCTTTATTGAATATTTGCTTTGTAGTCGGGTTGTCTCTTCTGTAATGATGTTTGCTGAGGAAGACAGAGAAAGAAGAGTACAGACAGACGGCTCAATTTTTTTGTTTTAAATGAAAACAGAACCCCATAGTGGCAGACACAAAGCTAACTTACAGCACAGCCCAGGCATCCTGCTTAGGTGCTAGGAAATCAGAACTTTTTCTAGCATTTCCCCATAATAGTCTCAGGCCCTGGCATGGGCACTATCACATTCTTAAAGGTGTCTTTTTGACTGATCCAAATGCTTTTGCCTGGTAAGACCTCTTTTGCTGTAAGATGACTCCCATCAGCCCTGGGCCTGTGGGGCTCTGGACCACCTTCCATTGTTGCCATGTTCTGCTCTCGGAAGAGCAGCCTGTCTTTCAGTAAGCATTTGTCAGACCTTCCTGTGTGTCCAGCATGTATCTCAGGGCACAGGCCTCGAGAAAGGGCCGGAGGTTGTGATCAGAACCACATGAAGATTTCTCAGAGGCCTCTGCATCTTTTCCCACAACTGTTTTGTTAAGGAGGCGCTTGCTTAACAAAGGCTTTGTAAACTCCTATCCAGTGCAAATTCATTGGCAAAGGTGAAGGCAATAACCAGAGAATGCTGGCTGAGAAAAAAAGACACACCCAGAATCCTAGCCTTCAAGCTTGTCATTTTGCCCTAGGCAATGCTGTGTGGGGCCCTCCTTGTGGGGTGCTCCTCATGGCCCCTCTGAGGATCTCTGGGTCAGGCCTGACGGCAGAACCTCATCCCTTCAGCTACAGTGCTGGAGACCAAGTCACATTGTGTAGAATAAATAATAATATTGAAATTCATTTCAATAGATGTATGCCGAGCTCCCTACTATGAAAGCACCCTACACAGCTTTGGGCCCAGAGGGATTTAGCTCCAACCTTGACTACAGAGTGACTTTGGGAATTTACGTACCCTCCCTCTCACATCCCCATCATCAGGTTTGGTAAGAGCCTGAGAAAAACCTCCTGTAGACTTATTGTAGAGACACAATGAGAAAATGTGTAGATAGCCTTTAGGTCAGTGCCTGGCACAAAGTGGGTGCTCAATAAATGAGTGTTGATAGTGAAATTGGAGTCTATGCAGTGCTCACAGGTCAGAAAGGTGAATCACACACCTGAGTGTGAGCAGAATTCTGAAATAGGACAAGAAGCGTATTCATTTAACTACACTTCTAAAAAGCCCTCATGTCTGTGTGCCCAGCATTCCAGAATGTAGACTGGACCAAAGGGGAATGTGCTTGAGCCCCTGCATGCCCTGAAAGTGTTGAGACAGTGAGGGTGTTGGCCCTGTGCACACTGGCACTTGCAAACCTTCAAGGTTGACCTCCCCATCTGTGCATTTTTCAGGCTCATAAAGAACAAGGACCATGTTCTTTTATTGCTTCCTGTTTTTGCAATTTGACACCTGTAGTTTTAGACTCCCTAAGTTTTGCCTTTTAGCAGGTCTCACCAGCATTTTTATTAAAACTTTCTGGTGTCTGGTATCTTTCCTGCCGATTTCTCCCAGAAGATGTCCTCCGAGTGGAAACCAGAGATCAGGCTCCCGTCTGGTAGTGACCATGTCATGCTCAAGTCCCTGGACTGGAATGCTGAGTACGAGGTGTATGTGGTGGCTGAGAACCAGCAAGGGAAGTCCAAGGCAGCTCATTTTGTGTTCAAGACCTCGGCCCAGCCCACAGCCATCCCAGGTATGACTGCCTCCGCTTTCTAGTAGTTTTCCGCTTTGAATTAATGCACAAGTGCTGCTCCTCCTAATGCGCCTGAACAACCCTGACAACTTGCTTGCTTACAGCCATCCTCACGACTGGTTGCCCAGCCAAGCTTAGTTTTGCCTTGTACCTATCTGCGCAGTGGGTTGAGATGTACTGGACCCCCAGGAAGGCTTGGCCAAGCATCCTGGGGAAAAGGTCCTGTCTCATTCGGCCTTGAAGGACCGATGCTAACCAGTCCATGAACCCCTCAGATGGGAAATGCCCAGCTCCTGCCTTGCCTTGGATGCTGGTTGAGTAAGGATTCTTTATGAGACCTTATCTGCCATCTACCATTCCATAATAGAACACATAACTGTTTTATGCACTTTCTATATGATGCTGGCTTTCTCTGCATGACCATGGTCCAAATCTCTTCTCTATGGTGACCCCAAGAGAAGGAAGAGATGGTGCCCAGTTAGTGACAAATCCTATCTGCCAAGGGCCTCTCCCCTGAAATGGAAATTAAATTGAACCTCTTAAAATGGAACAAGTGGAGAAGACAGATGCTGGAAAGCACCATCCATGAAAGGCAGGCAGTCTGCTAGAGATTGTATAGGTGGCAGAGCTCCTAGGAGATGCAGATCTGTCTCTAGGGATCCAGGATGGACTCAAGTGTGGGAATAAAGTGATAGTTCTGCTTTCTGGCCTAGCTACCTTGCCACTGATGACCAGTCCTCTCATGGGCCAAATCCCTCAAAGAAAAAGTTCTTCAGCTATCACTTTGCTTTTCCAGACCAGACAAATGCCAACCATAGGCAGGAGAAGAGACATAGATCTTACAGCTGCAAGCTGTTGGAGGGGACCCCATATACTCTGCCATGTTCAGGTGTGGTAGGAAGACAGTCTTGGGCAGCCCCCATTATGCCTGTCCCATCTGTAGAGATTGCCAGTTCCTTGGCTCAGTTGTCGTGATTGCTCCTTCCAGGGGGAGACAGGCCACAAGGGGTGTGGGCTGCTTGAAATCCAGGGCTGGGTGTGCAAAAGTGATATAGTCAGGCAGCAACAAAACAAGAGGTCGGTGAGTGATTCTGGATGGTTGCTTGTGTGTGAATGGATATGTCTGGGAGACACGTGGGGCCTCCAGCAAGTTGGCAGGTGAGTTTTAAGCTGTAGATCGAAGCGTGGACGGGAAGGTTCCCTGTCTCGGGCTGGGGTGGGCGTGTCCCTACAGGTGCAGAAGTCAAGGCACTTGGTGAGGAATGTTCTCATTGCTGCTTATTAGGATGCCCAAATCTGGGTGGACTTGCTTTTCCTCGCCCCTTCTTTCCTGTGTTATTTGGTCAGTTTTTCTTTGAAACTGACATAGGATGTGAGGTCCAGATCTGTCCTGCCTTTGCAGTCACTTAGAAGGTTGGAGAATGTGAGGCTTGAGTAAATTCTTTGCAGCAAGACAGATTCCTTAAGGCAGTTGTTCCCTGGGGTGAGCCCCCATAAGCAGTCACTTAGGCAGGCTGTGTTCCCGTGCTGGATACTACCAGCAACATCAACTTCTGGAATTTGGGAGTCAGACACAAAAATATTAGGGAGACCTTGTCCTCCAGAATCCTTGTGAATCATCCAAGTGCCCACTAAGCCGGAGAGGGTTGCTCACCTTATCCATGATGGCTGTGCAGGTCTACTGTGCAGGACTTAGAAGGAGGTGGCTCTGCTTGGTTGGAAGTTCCTGGACATTGTATTATTGTCCAAGAATAAAACCTCTTTGCATCACAAGACACATTTGTGGTTGAATGCTGTGGTCAGCAGGGTGGTGGAGGTGAGGTGCACAGGACTCTAACAGCAGCACAATGGCGGTGTTTGTGCAGTAGGAAGACAGGTCTGCTTCAGCGCTACCAAAGCAGCCCCCACCTCATGCACAGTTTGCTGATCTAGCGCAGACATCCAATGCATCTATATCGCTTCAGGCAAAATCACTAGCGACTAGAAGACCATACACTTGCTGGCTGCAACTGAGGCTTCACCTTAGTAAGAGGTAACACTGCCCTAATCAGACCCTGGGATTTCACTGTGGAGGCTCCTGTTCTCTCACTTTAATTTCATTTGCTCGCTGGACCCTGACCTCCCCCAATTAACCCTGCTGTGCTGCTTCTGGCCTTGCTGAGCTTCTGACCTGGCCTGTGGTATTGATACCGCACTGAACTCTTCCTTAACCTTTGTCAGTTTAATTTACTAAGTTAAATTAACCTTGAATTCTTGTGTTTTCTATATTTGACCTAATTGTTTTTCTTTTTATCTATTTTTTTTTCTCTGTTTCTGTCTCTGCCTTCTCTTTCCTTCTCTCCCCCTCCCTCCCCTTCCTGTGTCTGTCGTTACACTTGTCACCTTGGACGTCACTGGGACATCCCCACTGCCACATTTATTTTTAAACAACCACATTCTCTCTGGGGACCCATTGCTTAATACTGCAGCTACCTTGGGAGGCAATTCTGCATCCTACACCTTTGTCTCATTGCTTTTCTCTGCAGTGACTCTTCTTTTGCTCTGTTAGGAACTTGAACACAAAAACTAAATTTGCTTAAAAGCCCGGTTCCTATGAAAGCGATGAGTGCCCCTTTGGAAGAACCTGTCAGGACTACCTTGGCCCCACCACGGCCACTGAGCTGAGCGAGCAGTGTGTGTGGAAGAGGAAGGCTTTGCAATTGGGAAAAGCTTTACCTCCTGATTTTGGCCATTCACAAATATTTGTGCCACTTCATAAGGAGTTTGCCCCCTTTTTAATGGCAGTAAAAAGAATCTGAGAGCTCTTTCTTTAAATACTATGTTTTGAAAGAAGCATCGGGCTAGGTTCCCCCCGCAAAGTTCCTGCGTCTCTGCTACCTATTGCAATTTTTTTGTTCATACCTAAAATGTAGCAGAGGAAGAATTGGGGTTCTACAGCTCTCCTCAGATTGCCGAAATCGCCACATGCCCCCTCTCATTCTAACTCTGTGCCCCTCCTGTGCCCTTCAATTAATAGCTGGCTTGGCTTGCATTTAAGTATTTAAGTGCCCCAGTTTAAAGAGCCAGATTTGGTGATTCACCTGAGCACTCTGCTGACATGATGGGCAAATTAACCCCCCTGTTGCCTATGAAGTGGAAAAAGCTGAATCGATTAGGATATTTTCTGAGGCTGATGAATGTTCTGGGAGGTACTTTGGTCCTGGTATTATAACCAGTATCTTCTGCAGTTTCTGTGAACAGGGCCAAGACACAATGTGCCCAACACCTGCTGGCTTTGAAAGGTGCTTGTCTCCCAGCAGGGGTAATTCTCCTGTTGCTTAGCAGCATATCGCAGATCAGCACAGACCTCTGTGTCTTGGGGGTTGTGGTCTAGCTGTGACCCACATTGTTACCATAATCACCTGTACACCAGGCAGGTTGGAAGCTTCCACTGTGAACCAGTCCCAACTCCCGCCTTCACTGTTATACTCAGAAGTGAAAAGGGGGTGGAACAGGCCACTCCCAGACCACTCAGCCCCACTAAAGTGTCACTAAATCAGGGATGGCTCAGCCTGTCAGCTCTACCAGAATGCCCTAGCTTCCCTATTGGTCAATTGATTCAGTGACACTTTGAAAACCCTCATGAAAAGCCAGGTGCTCCTGTCAGCTGTTGGGGAGTTCACCCGGGAGAAGAGGTGGATGTTTTTTTCTGAGGTTGGACATTTGGAGATGCAGGGCTGAATCCCACCCAGTAGTGTGAGCTTGTATGCTCGGGGGTGGACTTTCTACCAAATAAAGACTCCCTCCCCACTTGTGGTCACCCATCATTCTACCTATCTCATCTCTGAACATCTCCACAGAAGTTTGATTTTTGTTCTTTTTGGTTCTTTTTTTTTTCAGTTGTGTTTTAATGTTCAAAGACTAGCCTTTCCCTTTGGGAATTCAAATGACCCTGAGCTATGGTCTGTGGGCAAAGCTACCTGTGTTGGCACCCACCAATGTCCCCAGTATTCAGTGTTAAAGCTCCACGTGGCTTAACTCAGGCAGGCATCACCCTTGCCCAGCCACAAACCTCTCTCCTGGAGCCCAGACCCCTCTTCCCACCAGGCAGTGAAGCAGGATGGTTCTTGGGCACAGGGAAAAGCACTGGGGAGAGGAACATGGTACCCTAGGGCTGACATGAGAATCACAGGTCAGTTAGGGAGAGCTGTGGGGAGGGAGAAGAGATTCCCCTCCATAATTCTCCTGTTCTTCTGGTCACCCTGGGTAGAAGTCACACATATTTACCCTATGGGGGCCAGCTCTGGGGTCAGACTCAGTCTGGTCCCAGGCCACCCAGAGGAAAGGGACAGCATTAGTATATCTGATATAACTCTAAATATTGAGAGGCCTGACTGTTGCTGTGCCCTCAGCACATCCCTCAGCTCATCCCAGGGCTGGACAACCCTCAGATAGAAAAACTTTGGGGTCTTGCAAACAGAGCTGTGGTTTATAATAGTTTGCCTTCAAAAGACAGAGATAGTGTGCATCCCTCCACCCACCTAACACTTGAGTTCCCAAGGAAGGCTGCCACCCCCAGCCCTGCCAGGGATCCTTAAGAAAGCGGCCCTCAGAGAGCCCCACAGGAACGCACACTCCTGCTTTGCCCAGCCACCCTACTTTTGCTGCCCTGCGCTAGTGCTGTCCACATGCCACATGACATGGGGTTTCTCTGCTCATTTTTGGAATATTTATACAGCAGGTTTGGATCACATTTTTTACTAATAAGAATGCTAACATTGTTGTGTAGATAATCAGCGAGGCCTTTATGAAGTTTACACCTTTGCATTATTAAAGGATATAACAGTTCATGTGAATTCTCCAGCGTGTTTCAATTTTATTTAATGTTGTGTGTCCAACAAAGTGTCAAAAGCCCTTTCCCTCCATCTCCCATGATAACTGATTACCTAGAGAGACATTTAAATTGGACCTCACATTCATAGCCTGATCTCATGGAGCTGTAGCCAAAGGAGTTTCTTTCCTCCCACATGTGGAACACTGTTTTTATCAGCTATCCTAAGAAATCCATTTCTGCCTTAGAATCCTCAGCAGGCAGAGGAGGGGAAAGTGCCTTTGCAGAACTTGGAAGGTGGTTGCTCTGAGGACAGAGGCACATTCTGAGTCATTAGATGCATAGCTCTGAAACAAGGTCTTCCAATTACACAACAACCTTTACTCCTAACAGAGGCTACAAGGGGATCTTGAGATAGAAATGAAAGAAGGTCCTCTTTGGCCAACTATGTTCTGTTTGTTATCATCCTTCGATACCTCTCAAAGGCCCCTGAGACCAGCCATCTGTGTAACAAGTTCCAGGAAGGAGCAAATAGACATGTGGGGTTTTATGAGTGAATCAGACTCCAGCTCAATTGTTCTGAGAATCTGACAGTCATGTGGAGGGTTAAGGGACAAAGAGGGAACTTCTACACCCATATCTCATGGCACAATGACTCTGGCTCACCTGGGCAGCTGTAAGGCATGAGAACCATGTTCCCAATTTAAGGCACAAGAAAGTAAGTGTCCGGGCTGGGGTTGTGGCTCAGTGGTAGAGCGCTCGCCTAGCACGTGCAGGGCACTAGATTCGATCCTCAGCACCACATAAAAATAAAATAAAGGTATTGTGTGCAACTAAAACAAAATATTTAAAAAAAGAAAGAAAGAATATAAGTATCTATGGGCCTCTGTCTTGGGGCAAGTGAGTTCCCACTTAAGTACCACCCTCTCCCAAACCAGGAACCACAGAAGACAGACAGCCCCAGCCTTGCAGTCTCACTGCCCAGTCTGTGAGGAGGCTGCTTCCAAGAAGCTGTCTTAGCATGCAGGGACACAGGTGAGTTAGTCAAGGAGGTCAGGGGACAATGGTGGCAAAGATAGACACCCAAAGGTTTTTTACTTTTCCTTTCATGAAATGTTACATATGAGATGCAGGAGATGACACTTGTCCCTCTAGCTTTCCTGAACTGAAAACTCCTGTGACATCCACCAAGAGGGAATGAGTTCTGACTTGTCTCGAATAACCTTTCATCTGTCCTGTGGCCTATCCCTTATTGTAAATGAGGCCAGCACTCTCTCTTCAACCTGAGGAGCACCTCACTTGCTCTAGAAGTCTTAGTTCTTAGCAGTGGTGGCCTGAGGGACTCCTTGGTTTTAGGGACAAGTCTGCTTTTTCTCAATCTATCCAGTACATCAGGCCACCTCTGTTTTGTCAAAATATCAGGGCAAGCAGCCCATCTCCTACTTGATGATGGATCATAGGATCGGCTTTAATTCGGTATGATTTAGGGAAAGGAAGACCTGAGACTATCCCCAGTGATTCTGATTTCAAAGACTTAAGGAGCCCCAGCTTCTCAGTTTTTAACAGGAACCCCAGGAATTCCACTGCATGTGGAGAATCATTGAGTTAAAAGGTGTTTATTTTTCATGGAAAAATAAAATCACAAGGGTCAATGATCAAAGATGGGATTTTATTGAGCATTTTAGCCTTCCGGAAAAAGTCCTCGGTGGACATTATGGAGAGTAGCATGAGGGAACCTGTATCATGTGCTGGGCACTGTAGAATGTCTGACCTGGAATGACAGGCTCTTGTGGTTGAAGAGGACTTGCAGACATCCTCTATCGAGGAACCTCATCCACACCATTACAACATCCCTGCCAAGAGATTGTCTCGCCTCTGCTTAAAAGCCTCCAGCCACAGGGAGCTCCCCTACCAAGGAAGCTCTCACTGTGTTGGACTAGCTATTTCATGTGGAACTGCAATCTGGCCCCACCCTCATAATTAATATCACTGGTGCCATACAGAGAAAGGCTATCTTTCCCTTCTCATGACAAAGCTTTATTATTTGGAAGCAGTGTTCTCATCTCCAGGTCAAACACTCGCTAGTTCATGTGACAAATATGTTGTGCAGGGAACATTTTCTGTGAGTCAGGGTCATCCCAGGTGCTGAGGAAACAGAAGAGAGAGAGGGCATCTGCTAGGTTTTTTGAGAAGAGTTAGCCAGTGATGATGAAAATGTAAATGAATAGAAAAAGGCAAGGAGACTATGACAGGGTAATGTAGTAGGCCCTGAGTACAGGAGCCTCGCTAGGTAAAAAAATCAGGTGAGCCCTTTCTGAGAAGGTGACCTGAGGCCTGAGGCCAGCACCACAATTAGGGTCTTTTAGGCTGGGAGAAGGCTTTGAATTTTATATCAAATGAAAGGAGAGACTACTGCCCTTTTTGTTTATTCCATAGTGCAGAGTATTTTTGCTGAACCCTCCCCCCAACACCTTCTCTCAAATGTGCTCAGAATCAGTGCAGCCAACAGCTGGATCTGATGAACCCAGAGCAGAAACTGCTCAGCTGCTGCCCTGTCCTGCACACAGAGCAGCTTTTCAGTAAGATGTAAGCAGTCTCAGAAGACAATATTTATAAGCCTCAGAACATAGAATTAATGCCATTGAGTAAAAAAATACAGACATAGCCTCTCACACCAAAAAAAAAAAAAAAAACTTACAACTCCTCCTTCAGAAAATGGGCACTTGCTACCTACCGGGTGTTGCTTCCAGGATGTTGCAGTGGCTTCAAGCCCAGTGTCATGGAATAGAGAGAAAACTCCTGGCTATAGTGACTTCCCCAACAGCTTGGGGTGCTAAAGAACAGGAAGGCCTGCATCTTTCTTTGCTTTGGGGGTAGAATGTAGATGGATGGGGAAGTAGAGAGATGGTTTTGTTCTCATTCAACCAATCAGAAGTGCCTCTGCATTAGCTGACTGCTGAGAAAATGACCCACTCTAGCTGACAGCTGGGGCCAGCAGCTAATTTCCTGCTGCCAAAGCCCAGACATAGGTAGCCAGAATCTTGCTAGTCTTGGGACTTCCTGGGAGATGGGATGAAATCCTCAGAGCAGTGTTGGAAGGGATCAGCCAGAGAGCCAAGGAGGAAAGGCTGGGAAGCAAGCCAATGACCCAAGGGGGCCAAAAACATTTGCCAGCTAGAGATTCTCCTTCAGCTCAGGTCCCATGTATTATACCTTGAAGAGGTTGTAAGTGGTCCTCTGGCATGCTGGGCTGGTAGCAGAGTGGCACTGCTGTTGGGGAAGCGCTTCAGCGCCTGGGTAAGGACCCATAGAACAGACAGAATAATTCCTCCCAGAACACATGCTGCATGAGAAAAGAAGATTGGGGCCCATCTATGGGTTACATATCCTCCCATTAACTGGCATGGTATATGATTGGCAGGCTACTGTGCCTAACCTGGCACCTAATAAAAATGAATCAGGAGTGCCCATATTTCAGTTTAGGGTCATTATTTCTACACTGACTTATAGGCAGAGCTCTGTGTGAGTTCTTGCTTCCCACATCCCCATTGCCTCCCAGACACTGACCGGAACCACCAAGAGGTCAGTAGTTCCATCCAAAGCAACTAACATGGCCAGTCACGGCCATGCAAGGAACAGAGTATGGGGGCTTTTGTGATAGCATCAATGAGCCCAGGGGACCGTAGACGAACACCAGGGAGCTAGACAGAGGGCCTGAGTCTTTCAGAGTGAGTCCAGCCAGAAATGGAACCAGGGTCCAGGTGCTGCTGGGATGTGAGAATGTGTCCATCTGTGGGTGTCTGTCCTGCATGTGAGCGTGCCTGGGTGTGTGAGTGTGCAGCTCTGGGTGAGCCTGCTGATTTTCCTGAAGTCTGATCCAAGCATGCCAGGCTCCCAGATGGTGAGTATTCCCAGACCCTTCACTTAAAAAAAAAAAAAAAAAACAGGCCCAGGAGTCTTCCATGCCTCCAGAGTCACATGAGCTCCATTTGTCCTCCTGGGATACAGAACAAAAGCGTGAACCATAAGCCCAGTGTACTACAGTGTTGGGCTCTTTGGAGTTATTCCTAAAGGGGGGAGGGAGTGTATCCACATGCCATTGGGCCTGAACCACCCCCTTCACCAGCCCCATGGAAGCCCAGGGAACCCTGACCCTCACTATTCCCAGAGCCACAGCCCATCCTGAAACCCAGCAGTCACTCTCTGCCTACAGTGCAAAGCCTTTTGCCCTGGTCTAGGGGGGACACACAGTAGTGCCCTCCACCATGTCTTTATCCAGGCTCCTCAGACACTGCCTGTGGCTGGGCTCCGTCTGCTCCCAGGACTCACCAGGAGGCCAGCTTGTGCATGGGTACAGGGGAGGCTCAGAAGTCAAGGGCTGGATTGGAGATTCATCTTCAGGCCCCACTCTCATCTTGACTTGAAGGAGCTCCATGCTCCTGTCCCCTTGATAAGATGGAGCTATCATCCCTCCATCTGGAAGACAGAGACAGCCTGTTGCCTCAATACCAGGGTATAGAAGGGCCCCAAGGAAGGAGTCACTCTGGGCGTGAATGCCATGGCTTTGAACTCTAAGCCCTACCCGACCCCCAGGGGCTGTTGCTTGTAGGGTCAACGGGCTCCATCTCAGTCTGTTAACCACCGGCCGTCTTTCTCCCACTTAAGCCAATGGCAGCCCCACCTCAGGACTGAGCACCGGGGCCATCGTGGGCATCCTCATTGTCATCTTCGTGCTGCTCCTGGTGGTCGTGGACATCACCTGCTACTTCCTGAACAAGTGTGGCCTGCTTATGTGCATCGCCGTCAATCTGTGTGGAAAAGCTGGGCCTGGAGCCAAGGGCAAGGACATGGAGGAGGGCAAGGCGGCCTTCTCGTGAGTGCAGACCTGCCGCCCTGCCAAGGTCTGGGATCTGCCCTAGCCCAGGAGCCCAGCAGTGGTGCCACCCCCAAGCCATCCGCTGAGCCCTGTAGTGACCTCTCCCTCAGCTTCACCTTCTCCACTTGGAAACACTGAGGGGCAAAAAGCATCAGAGAAAAGCCCCTGCAAACACAGTCTTGGGTCAGGCTTGGGAGCCATCTTTTTGAAAAGCAGACTCTTGGGCCCAACCCACATCCAGCATATTAGAATCTCATGAAAGTTAGGAAATCCCTGAGATACTCCAAGCAGGGGCCTTGTCAGAGTAAAGGACCTGGAAAGGAGCTATGGCAGAGGGATCAGCACTTGGGGACACACTCACCTTGCTCCCATTTATTCATTCATTCATTCATCACTAAGCAAATATTTACAAAGCAGCTAGTTCAAGGCACTGTTCCCAGGCTCTAGGTTACAACAGGGTATGAAACAGATAAAATTTCTATCCTCATTTAGCTGATGATCCAGATAGTGTTCCTCCAACAGCATCTGTGCAGAAACAGATACTGAGCCAGTTAGTGAGAACATTTGAAGATGGTCATCCAGTGGGGCACAGCTTGGGCAGGCTAAGAAAGGAGGGAGCAAGAAAATAATTTCTTTAATCCCATTTCATGCCAGGCACCATATACATGTGTACACATGTGCACATACATCTACCTACTTACAAGTGTATCCATATGTGTATATGTGTGTCTGTTTGAGCACTTTTCTACAAGATATTGTGCTAAACACTTCACATGCATTATCACATTTAATTTTCATAACTAGTGAGGTATATGCGATTATTTGCCCCAAGTTACTGGGTGATTACATCAGATACTGAAGGTCCCACAGCTATCAAGGGTCAGTCTGAGACACAGATGCTTGTATCTGGCTCTAGATGCCCACCTGGCCAGCTTGGACTAGGTAGGCCTAGGTACCCTGAGTCATAGCTGCTTCCCTTGGGAATACCCACAATGGCCCCTGATCTCACCAGCTGAACTCTGTCCACAGGAAAGATGAATCTAAGGAGCCCATCGTGGAGGTTCGAACTGAGGAAGAACGGACCCCAAACCATGACGGAGGGAAACACACAGAACCCAATGAGACCACGCCGCTGACAGAGCCCGAGTATGTGGGCAGAGAGGGGCTGACACCTCCTAAGTAGAGTGCACAACCCACCTCGCCACCCTACCCCCACTTGCCATGCTTCCCACTCAGTTCCCAGCCAAACATGGCAGGCCAAGGTTTTGGAGCCCTTGGCCAGAAGACCTACTTGGCTAGGAAATGCCTGGTCCCTCCCACTTTCATCAGAGGGCATTCTTGGTTCTATTTGGGGTGACTGGGTGCCCTTACAGAACCCCTTGTGCCACAGAAGTCGGGGACCTACCTGGTAAAGTTTCCTGGCCCTCGTCCACTCCGAAGCCTCAGGATCCTCCAGAGGCCCTGACCAGCTGTGCCTGCCTGCCCACCTGCCTGTCTATCAACCATCTTAAGGGTTTAAGGGAACAGAGTTTCACAGGTCCATAAAATCCATGGCTGGAAGAACCCACGGCTCTTAGGAGCCATTGGAACACTTGTCATCTGCTTATTCCTGACTTTCCCCATCACTGGCCTGGGAAGCCCTGCAGGATAGCGGGGCCCTGGTGCTCTGGGGCCCTGGAAGCCGATAGCAGGGAGACACTGCACTGAAGCTGCCTCTCCTGAAGTGGAAATCTAGGGCAGGCATGAGAAAGCCCCAGACAGGTCTGTAGGTGACCGGAGCCCTGCGCAGAGAGCTGGAGGGCCATCAGCAGGGAGGAAAGGCTAGCAGGTCCCTTTGAGACTGCCATGTTCTTTGTCGTCTCCTGTGTCCTCTGATGCCCACCTGGGCTGTACTTCCTCTCAGCGTGCTCGTTTCTCTGTGGGCCTTTGTTCCTGCCCGTGCGTGACTGCATGCCTACCCATGGCCCCTCTCCTTGGCTTCAGCCCTCCTGCCCAGCTTCTCTGTCACGTCTCAGCTTCATTGTCTATTCTCTTCTACTTTCTGTCCTTCCCACAGGCTGCCTGCCGACACCACAGCCACTGTCGAGGACATGCTGCCTTCTGTCACCACTGTCACCACTAACTCTGACACTATCACCGAAACCTTTGCCACTGCACAGAACAGCCCCACCAGTGAGACCACCACCCTGACTTCCAGTATTGCCCCGCCGGCCACGGCCGCGCCGGACTCAAATTCTGTGCCCGCTGGGCAGGCCACCCCTTCCAAGGGGCCCAGCGTTGCTGCCTCCTCCCCGCCCCCAGCTTCAGCCCCTAAGGTTGCGCCCCTTGTTGACCTGAGTGATACCCCGACCTCAGCTCCTGCCAGCAATTTGTCTTCTAGTGTCCTGGCCAATCAAGGAGCTGTCCTCAGCCCAAGCACCCCAGCCAGTGTGGGGGAGGCCTCTAAGGCCCCTGCGGCCAGCAAGCCGACCCCCGCACCAACCCCCACCCCCGCTGGAGCAGCCAGTCCCCTAGCAGCAGCAGCCGCCCCTGCCACAGAAGCCCCCCAGGCCAAGCAGGAGGCTCCCAGCACCAAAGGCCCGGACCCGGAGCCCACCCAGCCCGGCGCTGCGAAGAGCCCACCTGAGGCAGCCACAGCCCCCGCTAGCCCGAAGAGCGAGGCTGCCTCCGTCAGCGCCACAAACCCTTCCCAGGGCGAGGACTTTAAAATGGACGAAGGGAACTTCAAGACCCCAGATATTGACCTTGCAAAGGATGTTTTTGCAGCCCTGGGCTCTCCTGCTCCCGCCGCTGGGGCCAGTGGACAAGCCCCTGAGCTTGCTCCTTCCACTGCAGACAGCTCTGTTTCGCCAGCACCAGCAAAGACCGAGTACGGCCTCTCTCTGTCTGCTGTCGTCAGGTTGTGTCCTGTGGTGGTGTGCGTTTGTGCTGTGCTGTGTCCTCCTTGTTAGATGTGTCCTCAGCCTCACCCAGGGCTTCTCGCAGCCAACTGTCAACCAAGGGGCTGGGATGAGGCAGTAACAGGGGCAGGCAGCAGGGCTCCCTGAACGGAACAGCTTCCTGCTCTCTAATTAGGCCATGTTAATTATGTTTTATCCTTATCATCCTAGCAGTGCTTCTGTTTTCCCTGGGGGTGCTTTGCAGTGGGCCACTGATGAGCACAGCTTGGGAAGGTGCTAGGAGGCCAAGGTGCCCTTATCTGCCACCCCGGGGCCCAGTCAGTGTCACCCAGAACCAGGCTAAGTCCCTCCCTCCGAAAGGCACCATTATGCAAAAAGAAGAAAGTAGCCCCCCACCCCCCCCAGGCCGATGCACAGGGAGAATGCTGTCAGCAGCTTCATCACACACTGGCTGAGCTGCCCACCCCCCACCACCATTCACTCAGGTTTCTGCTGCCCTTAGAGTATCTGGGAAGACTAGGAATTCCCGAATACCAAATGCCTCTGTAACAGTATTTTCTCACCCAACCCAGGTCACCATACAGGTATCATCCTTAAACAGCACGGAGTGGGGGTAGGGGAGGGACAAGCCAAAGAGGTGGTGGCGGAGGTGGGTGAGGGGCAGAGGAGGACCTGGAACCACTATGGGGAACCCAGTGCAGCACACATTACTTAGAGCAAGTTGAGGGGCTCTAAGCAGCTTGTCAAGGTGAAGAACAGTCTGCCTTAACCACCCTATTCCCCTGCCCCAGGTCAAAACAGCCCCAACATCAAGGTAGGCTGCTCTAGCAGGAAGGACTCGGGCTTCTGAGCTTAGGCTGCAGATTAGAATCACCTGGGGTGCTTTCAGAAGTCACTGTGTCCAGGATTTTCAGGGACACAGCCCAGGCATCAGTGATTCTTAGAGCTCCCAAGTCATTCCAACATGCCTCCAGGGTTGGAGACAAGGGCTGGAACTGCCCCCCCCCAACCAGGGCCTGGCAGAAGTGGGGAGATGTCTGCAAACCAGGGTCTCAGCCTTGCTGTTTTCCTGATTCTCTGCAGGAAGGGCCCTGTAGAAGCAAAGTCGGAGTCCCAGGAGTCAGAAACAAAGCCAGCGCCAGCCGAAGTCAAGACGGTCCCCAACGACGCCACACAAACAAAGGAGAATGAGAGCAAAGCATGATGGGTGATGAGCAACGAGCAGAAATCAAAATAAAAAGTGACACAGCAGCTTCACCAGAGCATTTCCAATACCACACACGCGCGCGCGCACACACACACACACACACAGTCTCATTCCTCTAGTGTCTTTTGCCTTTAAAAAAAAAAACTAAACAGATAAACATGGGATCTCCTTTTTGTAGGTTTATAGAAAGGGCTCCTTTGTTGCACACTCACTTGTAAGAAAATGAGACAAAAAGGTTAAACCCACAGCCAAACTAGGACACTCCGTTCCCTGAAACCATTTAAAAATCAAACAAAAGGACCCCAAATTAAGAATCTAGGAAGCTAAGGGAAAAAAAAAAATCTAGGTTCAGAAAGACCACACTTGGTGTTACCGATTGGCACAGACCAGTTTCAGAGAAATACTTTCAGGCACTAAGACTAACCGAATGAACAAAGTCCACAGTTTATTTTTATACTTTCAGTCGAGTTCGAACTCTGTAAAACCTCATAAATAAGTTATCATTTCTGTTCACTTTGTATTTGTTCAGTATGCAAAGTGTGTCACCTTTCTAGCTGAATTCAGTTCCCACGTAGACTCTTGTTTTGTAGGAAAAATGCCAAATTGCAGCTTCTGGGGGTAGATCTCAATTTGCAGTATTCGGACTTCTTTTGCTTTCTTTTCCTTTGGCTGTTGTTTTGTTGTTTGTGTTGGTTTCCTCCCTTCCTTTCTGCCAACTTTGTTTTCCAGTGTTTACAGGTTGACAAATGTTTGACTTCGGTTGTGTTTAAATGTCCATGTAAAATAGCTGCTTTTTGTTGTTGTTGTTGTTGTTGTTGTTGTTTTTGTTTTTCTCTTCTTTTTTAGAGTTACAAATACCGCCTAGAGGTAGGTAGGATCCTCGTGGGCTTGCTTTAGCACAGGGTGACTTTACAAAAGATGATTGTTTACAGTGGTTCTACCCCCTTTTCTGATTTGCAGTTTTTGCCTGTGTTCAGCTCAGGTGAAAATCCATCTCATTGGAATGGTTTTGCCTTTCTATTTTCAGTTCTTTTTGTGTTTTCTTTGGGGGTTAGACCACTTTCTGATTAGCTGCCACCTGCCTGTATCTGTGACAAAGGATCTGCCTCCCAGGCGTTCTCGCCCTTCCTTTTGAAGGACTCCTTAGGCTTTGTTGAATGAAGCAGAGAAGATTGTATAGTTGGGGCTGGTCTTGGTGAACACACATTTATACCCCAAACATCCCCTTTTTGTAGAAAGCCAAATAAAATATATACATCCCATTTCCTTTTGAGCCCAGAATCTAGATTTGAGCGGAAGAGCATGTGTGCTTCAGGGAATTAGTGTCTTTTTTTGGAAATCTGTTGAAGTCAAGTAACATCGGCCTTCTGTTCATTTTAGGCAGCATTTGTAGAAACAAAGAAAAAAAAAACTACTGTCTGGAGTCATAACACAACTTTCCTGGATTGGAAACCAAGTGGGGGAAAAATACAGAAACTTTAAGGGGGATGGGAGGGGGGAGAAGGGAAAAGCCAGCCCTTTGTATAGAAATTTTGCTTTTGTTTCTCATTCTACTTTAGAACTGCAAGCTTGTGCACTGTGGATGCGTGAATATTTTAGTGTGAAACGTGTTTTTGTCATAGTATTGAAATAAAACTTCAACATAGTTTGGTTGTGGAAGGTATAGCAGATAGTTCAGAAAAACATTCAGGAAACAAAAATAACTCTTAAAAGGAATCGAAGCCTTTAAACAAAGAAAATAAAATAAAGATGATGATGATGGTCATGAAGAGGATGCTAAGTCAACAGAAATTGGTCCTCTTCCGGCATGCGTTCCTTTCCCAAGGTACAAGCAGTGTGAGGCCCGGGGTGGCAAGGCTGCCTCCGCATCCGCCCTGTGGGCCACTCCCCCCAAGGTTCTGACACTTCTGCAGTCTGATCAGTGGCAATGCTAGATTATAATTTCAAACTGTGAAAAATAATGGTCTTGTCATTTGCTAAATGTGGGGTTATTTTGCATTTTCTCAGCTCCTGGGGATGGAAATGGAGGATCCCAGAATACACAGTCCTGGCCCCTTTGATTCTAGGGTCTGCACAGATCTAGAGTTCAAATGCACAGGCCTTCAGGACCAAGTAGCATGGAGACAGCTCTTAGCGTGCACTGGGCAGAATGGGAGAGGTGGGCGCCTGAGGCAGGGAGGGCCTGGTGGGGAGGGGCCAGCTCTTGGGTTGCCAGGCTGTTCAGTAGAATCGATTCCTTATTTTGTGATTTTAATGCCTTGACCTCCTAGGTCCAGGCCATATGATACTTCCTGGAGACCCGGAGACACCATGTATTTCACTCTAAGTGGGTGTGGTTAGGCAAACTAATTTTGGTTCTGTTGGTGAGGAAGAGACAGAAGTACAGTCAGCCCTCAGATAACCTGGCCCAGGGCAGCTGACCCCCCAGAACCCTGGCCCACCACGAGCTGGAACCCAAGACTGCCCACACTTCCGTCTGCCGCTCTTGCTTTTACACATATGTTTGTCTCCGCATGCATGAGCCTTCCTTATCTTTTTCTTTTCTTTTTTATTTTTAAAGAGCAATGCTTCCTCTAAAATCAAAGAGGGAGTCACTTTATTCTCAAGATCTTCTATCTTTTATGTTAAGAGATAAAAGCTTATAATTTTTCTTTTTTAATTTTTGGAAGGAGGGATCAACTCCACCAGTTTCCGTGTCGATGTGTCTATATGTGTATGTGCCATACATATGTATTCACATGAAGACCGGCTTGGCCAAGTTCTGCGGGAGGCACTCAGGTGCCACGGACAGGTCTCCAATCCTGAAGGGCCGCAGTGTATATAGAGCAGCTTTGACGTGGAACTCTATTTTCACACTTTTCTATGGAACCTCCCACATCCCAGGTTTTCATCCTAGGCTGTCTGTCTGGATGGCGGTTTTCAAACCTCCATTAACATCCCTACCCAGCATTCTGTACTTCGGGGGCCTTCTCTCTTGTTATAAAACTTTTTACCAAGTGAAACATCAGCACCACCTTTGTTTCCATTCTCACTGGTGTAAATACTGAGTACTAACTGAGAATTTTGACTTTGCATTCTGTCAGAATACTTGTGTTCAATAAAAATTGAAAGAAAAAAAAGCAGTTATGATCTAACTGAGCTTTCTTTTGACAAAATGAGAGTTTCTATACGTCAAATGTAGACATGTCAGTGGTGGGGGGGGGTGGCTTTGGTTGTTTTTGTTGTTTTTGTTTTGTTTTGTTTTCTGTTTTGAATCCTGTTAGCAAGGTCAGTTCACCCCAATGTGTTGAGCTTATGTTGCCTGAATGATGGTGTTTTGTTTTGGTTTTCTCACAGGTGGATAGAGGACTCCTGGTTTAGAAGGGCCAGACATTAGATTCAGAAAGAAACTGTGTTTAAATCATGGTTCTACCACTTCCTGATTGAACTTGGAAGAGTTACCTAATTTCTCTGAGACTCTGCTCTTTAATGGACAGGAAGTGCCTAGAGAACAGACTTGGTTATGTACTGGTTGATAGACAAGGCAATATTACAAAGGCCTAGGGTAATGCTTTCTTGGCTCATAGCAGCTACTCAGTAAATGGGCGTAAGTACTGTTGGTATCCCAGGCATGTGATATCATCAAACCCATACCTGAGCTTTGAGATCACAACAGTGAAGCAGATGCAGGAGATGTATTCTAGAATAAGCCATGCCTCCCTCCTATTGCTTCACTGTGCCCATCAGCATTTAGAGCTATAACTCAGCCCCTAGAGTTTATCAAAGTCTCTGAACTAAACAAAGAGGGAGGAAAACTGTGTGGGCTCATAATTCTATATATGCTGCTGTCTGGCTGTGTTTGGAAGAAGCAATCACTATAGTTAGAATTATTTATTAAATGATGGAGTTGGGATTTCCTGGAGGAGACCTCACTGAGGAGCCAGGACTAGCAAGGCTCCCAGGGCACCAAAATGTAAACAGGTGCCCACTCTCAGGACTGACTTTGCATGTACATGAATCTGAGAATGATGCCTCCTTCATCTTATATCCCAGGTGCCTCTCTCCCCTATTCTAACGACACAGAGCTACATGCATCTATGGGATTTCCTTTGCCACCAAATTCCAGGTGCATATATCAGGGTGTGAGGGGTGGTGAGAAATAAAAACATTGCTTATCAAAAGTTGGACAAAACATGAAATGATGACCTCTCCATCCTTGCATCCGTGAGGGCTTGCTTCCAGAACTTTCCTCCTTCAGGTTAGTTTCCTCCCTGATCAACTCAGTATGTATTAAGCATCTATGAGGTGCTTGGGATACAGCAGTGAGCAAAACAGCTCTCTGGTGGAAGCTACATTTAAACACAGGAGTGAGGCAGATGATAAACACCTAACATGTTGTGGTAGTCATTAGGACTGTTCACAAATACTCCTGCTCTCCTTTTCCTCCATCCAGGCACATAGTAGAATTGCACTTCTCTACTCATTTAAAGGCAGGCATGACTATGTGACTTAATGAGCAGAAGTGGTGTGAGTCATTTCCAGATAGAACCTTTGTTATGACCCTCTCCCCACCAACACAACAGTCAGCAATGCTTCAGGTACTGGAAGTACCATTACCTGGGCCCAAAGGAAGGGACGTGGACAGAAGACGCATGGTGGACACGAAGTGTACGTGAATGATAAATCCAGAGTTATTGAGTGGTGGGCTGGTAAATGCTTGACGGCAGGCTCTCCAAGGGAAGAAGGGGGCAGCACAAACTTTATTGATAATAAAAGATGCAATTTACAAGTAATAAAATGCACAGTACTCTGTTGAAATTGCATATCCCCCATTGATATTCACAGAATGTTTTGGTACATTTTTGCTGAGGTCTTGTGTCCATATTCAGCCTATAGTTCCAGCTCACAAATGAGTGTAGTTCCAATCTGAATGTTGGTTGATACGTTCAGTTGAAACAATGAAGATCTATGTCAGAACTTGACTGTTTTGAATCCAACTGAAGTTTTGAATCTGGTGTAAATTGCTGAATGCTACAAGAGTACTGTCTCGTATGTGTGTGTGTGTGTGTGTGTATGCATGCTGCTCACATTGCATTTTAATCAGCATCATAAATATTTACCCCATCACTTTCTTAAGCACTAAAATAAATAATTCATGGATAAATCAATCAAACCCTGATTTGTAGCTGTGATCAATTTCAGCAGTGTAGAAATATTTGCAAGATGGCTGACTCCAATCTGGCACCCCCCAAGTGAAGAGTTAGGTAGAGACGCACAGTAATATGTCATTATACAGTATTCCCACCATGCAGACACACTGGACATAAATGCCTTCAAGGGCATAGATCACAGTAATATGTAATAAAAATATTATTATTTTAACAAAGGTAAAATGTAATGAAATAATTAAGAGGTACATAGCTAATTGTAAGTTTATATAATTTGACTTGTAAAAGTGGCTGTGTATAATAACTGGCTCACAAACATCCTGAAAATTTAATGATTGGCTCTCTGAACCAGGTAAAAGCTGGGTAACCTTACATTTTAAGCCACTTAATTTGGGGGTTTGTTACCATGGCATTATTTAACCTGCCATGGCTAAATCAGGAAATAGGGAGTGCTGTAACTACAGATCCAGGAATTAAGGAATTTGGGAGTGTTATTATTTTATAAGGCAGGTAGAGTAGTCCTCTGAAAGATGACATTGAGCAGCCGCCCGAAAGAAGTGAACCTTGCAAATATCTGAAGGAAGACAGGGGAACAGCAAATGCAGAAGATCCTGAAGGGAGGACTTGGTCGTATCTTTGAGGAAAGGCAAGGAGGCCAGGGTGGTGGAGAAGAAAGCAAATGATGGAGCAGGGCAAAGAATAAAGAGGTAGGAGGTAAGTCAGAGGCATTTGTGAGAGAGGGCACACAGGATCTTCATAGCCTTGTTGGAATTTTTCCTTTTTCTTCAAGTGAGATGGAAAGCCAACTCTGATGTAACCCAAGTTTTAAGGTGATCACTCTGGCTGCTGTGTGGGTAATAGACCCTGGGAGGGCAAGCGAGGAAGTAAGGACAGCAATTTGGAGGCAGTGAACCAGATAGGACAAGATGGAAGCAAGCTGGTTCCAGTGGAGGGGTGGGCAGTGGCCAGATTCTGGGCATATACTGAAGGTAAAGCCAGGCAGACTGGACAGGGGAGTGGATGTGAGGTTTGAGAGAGGTATGGAGTCTGCCTTCAGACTTGAGGTCTAACCAACTGAAAGGATGGAGTTCCATGTATATTCTACAGAAATAAAGGAGAAACCTCTTAGGGGGATGCAGGGTTTGGGCACCTCAAGTCCAAGATACCTGTGAATACCCTGGTGGAGTTTTTGAGGTTCATGTTAGACAGTCACGGAGGAACTGTCAGCATATAACTTGTATTCAAAGCCCTCAATATAGATTGAGAAGACACTAGAAAGGACCACAGAACCAAAAAGAAAACTCACAGGCTGCCGTGGGCAGCTACTCCTTGGTCCCTCAACACACAAGTTCTTGAACTTGCATCCACTGTCCTGCTGGCTGGTATGCATGCAAGATTTTAAATTTGTAGTTAAAAAAAAAAAATTTCCTGCAAACCTTGTTACTCTGGGCATTTCTGTACCCACCTCCACACTACTGAGTGCCCCCATCAGGCACTCAGCATTGGATGACATTTGAAAACACTCCAGGGAGATCATCTGTGAGGTCCATCCTTGTAGGAGGAGCCCCAGCCCCGTCCCTGGTGCTCCTGGGGTGCTCCTGAGCAGGGTGCCTCTGAATGACGGAAGTCACTCCAACAGAGCCAGTGAGAGCAAGGCTCCTTCAGATCCCTCCAGGTAAGGTCTCCTGTGAGCTGTGCTTGGATGGCAGAAGCTAGATAATGAGGGAGTCCCCACCGGATTTCATTTAGTAGCCTCCAATCCATAACTCACTCTGCACCTACGCAGAATGGGAATCTCATCATGCTACTACCCCGACCCCTCCTGCCATCGAGATCTTCAGTGGCTCACAGCTTCCCTCAGTAGAAAGGCAAATTCCTCAAGAAGATTGACACAGCCCATCTTGGTCAGGCCTTGCTTAATGCTCATTCTTCGTGTTCCTCCAGCTTGTCCCTGCTCAACTATTCGTGTGTCCTAAATGATCCACATCCTCTTCCACCTCCCAGAACTCATACGAATCATGTTTCATTTCCCTTCCATGTCTGAAACTGTTAAATACTTTTGGACTATATTTTGAAGATGAATACACAGCTTATGGTCACTTTAATAAGAGTTTTCCAAGTTCAGCTCATTTGCCTGGGTCAGCATGCCCAGGGTACAGAATACTTGGGGTTCAGGATGCCCAGGCATTCTCTCTGACCATAGAGCCCCAGAAGAGGAAGGAATCTCTCTGACATTCCCTATATAATTTTATGGGCCTGTATCTAATGTCAGCTCAAAGGAGCAAGAAAGGTGGCTTACCAGAGCACTGGGATTCTGGGGAAAGAGGTTACATGGTCATTTGGGAGTGGGATGATTATGATGGGGCCAGTAGAAAGAGCAGAGACTTTTAGGGAGTCCAGGCTAAAATCTAAACACCAGTCAGGAAAATACTCTCCAAGGAGAGGCAGCACATAGTTCAGTACTTTAAGTTCTTGATTCAGCTAACTTTCCAGAAATCTTGCTTGCAGAAGTTCTGTGGCATGGTGGTGGTCACCTGGGTGCTGGGGCAACCTTCATGGGGTAGGTGGTATGCAGAACTATGAATTAGAGTTTATTTCTCTTTGCCATCTCCCTACAAGTCTGACTTAATATCAGATGACAAGGAAAGAAAGGAAGGGCAAGAATATGGCTGTCTTCCTATTAGACGTGGCCGTGGAATAATGAAGAGTGATTACAAACATGGACAACTGCAGAGACAGAACTGGGAAGAGAAGACACTCAGATAATACTTCTCTCCCCCCTCCTACACTCCTCAGGTGAGTTCTGTGATTTCCCTAAGACAACCAGCAAACCTGCCTCCACTTTCACCTCTGCCATCATTGAGTGTCTCACTGCTGTCCTTACCTGGTTCTCCCTGGAGACACTGATTGCTGGAGACTGCTAATTATTCTGCACCCTGAGTGTCCTAGTGTCTAGGGTTAGGGGCCAGGCCTTT